TGAAGCAAGTTTAAAAAAATATGTTTTCAAGAACTTTTTCTTAATAAAATTTAGTTATTTACAATTTCTATTCTTATATAAAAAATGTATAATCAAAAACTTAAAAAAAAACGACTTATAAAACAAACTTCAGTTCTCAAAGTTTTTATAGTTTAGGACTAAGGTGTTACAATAAGTTAAGAGGATTGAGAAAAAAGATTTGTTTGCTATACAAATTGCTGTGGTTAAAATGGTTTTTCAAAAAATTTGTCATTTAGCTCAAAAAACCCTTTTTCATGCATTACAAAAGTAACATAAAAAACTTCTTAAATTTTAAGAACAGCCTTTTATATGATTAGGCCCCCTAAAGTATATTTCATTAGTTAGGGTTGGCCTATAAAGTACTTACACCAAAAACTTTACCGCTTTTTTAAAAATTTTACCACTTTCCCCCTCCCTGTTGCCATGCGTAGTTTTAAGTTTTCCCTCCCTTAAAAAGTACGTACAACTTTGAAACCCCCCTCTCCAACTTTTTTTAATGAATAAGTTTATGGAGTAAAAAAAAGGTGGAGGAGGTACCTTAGGTACTTTGTGCTCTTTGTTTACGGCACAGGATCCTTATTTACAAAACGTCTTCCATTATATATGCAAATGTTTATTTTAATAAAGTTAAGTTACCAATTTCAATGTGTTTGCTTGGTTGAGCGGTTTAAACTATGGACTGCGGCGACAGAGACCGGTGTTCAATTCCAGGTTGAGTTATACAGTAATTTTTTTGTTTTAATGATGAATTAAATAAAAATAAACTATGAGTCGAACATGTTTTTAAGGCACTCCTACCCAGCTACAACAAAATGTTGAAGAACGTTCTACGAACGTTGTTAACGTTCGAGTACGTTCTATAAACGTTAATAGAACGTTCTTGAATGTTTTGTGTTTGCTGGATATTTTAGTAAGTGCGTGAAAAAAGGAGTCCTACGAGAGACCAGTAATATTGAAAACAAAGCCTTAAACCCATGCCGAGGATAGACTACCCATACCCCTTAATTTGGAAAAGGTAAAAGGGTGGGAGAAAATTTTGTGCCTTTTTGCTAATTTAAGGAACTTTTTATTTTAGCAAAACCTAGCGGTAAAATTTGCAAGATTTCGAGACTTAAACTACACGTTTTTTTTTTTTCTTTTTTTGGGAGGATACTCCAACCCCTTAGTCACGGCACTGCTAAAATCTGTTTTTTTTTTGGCTAAAAAAAAGGTGGCCAGACGTAAGCTCTTCTCAGGGTCAGTATTTAAGGGGTGGCATGTGTGCATAGGCGCCCAGAGGATTTTGTGATCTTCTAGATAAGACACTTTCACACATTTGACATAGGTATACATAAGTTTAGAGCTTTCACAATTTGCGAAAGCGTCTTATCTGTAACATCAAAAAGTTCTGCGGGCCTCCATTCATGTGTTTGCATTGAGGTAAACTATACCCTCAACTCCCTATACCAAACATCATTTTATGTTGGCGAACTAGGATTTTTAGTCAGAATTTAAACATTTCTATCAATTAGCTGGTTAATTGTGATTAATTAAAAAATTAATGTACGTACTTTTAAATTGAACCCTCTCCACTTCCCTCCCATACGCTTTTGTATGCTTGTTGAAGACCTACCCTTCGCTCTATGAGCGTAGGTACTTTATGGACGACCACTTTCTACTCTGCCTACGCATTGCATATATTGCAAAAATACATATAATATAAAAAATTCGTTAATATTAAGTTTTAGTTTTGTTTGAGATTTTTTTTAGCTGCCTAATAAACCCTGATGGGCAACAAGGAATGTTTATTATATTTCAAGTATTTTTTTTCAGTAAAATCAAACAAAAAACTTCTAGCTTCTTTTCATTTTAATGCTGACTAAGAAGAAGTCTTTTGGTTTAAAACAATTTTTGTAAAGCTTAAAATTTTTCGTCCATTAAAAAAAGAATTTTTGTCTATTAAGGTAAACATTTAAAGAACAGAAACGACTAAATTTCTTGGGATATTTATTGACCAAAATCTTGAAGAGCCCATATAAGTACAATAAACACCAAAATCTCAAAAATTATTGGGATACTCTACAAAGTTAAACCTATTTTGTCCCAACATAATCTTAAATTGCATAACTTTTCTTACATCCAAAGTTACCTTACATACGTTTTTATTTTTCAACTTTTTTCTTGTTTTTTAAAACTATCTTTAAGAATTTTATAAAAATAGTCAATAGAAAGGTTACAATATTTCTTATTGTGGAAATAATAAAATAAATTAATTTACAAGAGAGGCATATTGTTTGTTAAAAAAGTTTTAATGAAAATTTTTCAGAAAAAAAATTTAATCCATTTATTAAAAACTCAATAGTATTCCTAATTAAAAAAACTTCATCGCGGTGCACTAAAATATGCATATTTAATAATAAAACTTCTTTGCATCATTTGTAAGACAAAAAAACAACCAATCTATTGTAAAGTATCTATACAACATATGTAAGACAAAAAAACAAAACTATCTACTATATAAATTCCTTGCAACATATATACGACAAATAAACGATTAATCTATTTAAGAAATTTCTTTGCAAAAAAATTTTGTCTTACATATGTAAGAAATAAAATTTCTTACATATGGAAGACAAAATAAATACATATGTATAAAAAGTTAAAAACCAATCTATTATAAAAATTCTTTGCAACATATGTAAGGCAAATAAACAATCAATCTATTATAAAATTTCTTTAAAACATATATAAGACAAATAAACAACCAACCCATTGTAAAACTTCTTTACAAAATATGCAAGTCAAATTAACAAACAATCTAATATAAAATTTCTTTGCAACGTATATAAAACAAATAAACAAATTATCTATTAAAAAAATTTCTTTGCAAAATATTTTGTCTTACATATGTAAGAAATAAAACTTCTTACATATGTAAGACATATCAACAACCAATCAATTATGAAATTTGTAAGACAAATAAACAACCAATCTGAAAAAAAAAATTACTTTGCAACATATGTAAGACAAATGAACAACCAACCTATTATAAAAAATATTTGCATCATACCTAAGATAAATAAACAACCAATCTATTATCAAACTTCATTGCAACATATATATGGCAAATAAACAACCAATCTATTATAAAATTTCTGAGCATTATGTGTAAGACAAACAAACAACAAATCTATTATAAAACTTCTTTGCAATATATGAAGGTAAAATAAACAAACAATCAATTATAAAACTTCTTTGCAACAAATGTAAAAAATATAAACAACCAATCTATTATAAAATTTCTTTGCAACATATGTGAGACAAACAAACAACCAATCTATTATAAAACTTCTTTGCAATGTATGAAGGAAAAATAAACAAACAATCTATTATAAAACTTCTTTGCAACAAATGTAAGAAAAATAAACAACCAATCTATTATAAAGTTTCTTTGCAACATATGTAAAGATAAAAAAACAACCAATCTATTACAAAAACTCCTTGCAACATATATAAAACAAAATTTCTATGCAACAAACGTAAGACAGAAAAACAACAACTTTATTTAAAAATATCTTTGCAACATATGAAAGACAAATACACATCCAAGCTATTATAAATATTCTTTGCATCATACCTAATACAAACAAATACAAATCCATTATAAAATTTCCCTGCAACAGATGTGAGACAAATAAACCATCAATATATTATAAAATTTCATTGTAAAATATGTAAAACAAATAAACAACCAATCTATTATAAAATATCTTTGCAACATATGTGAGACAAACAAACAACCAACCTATTATAAACCTCCTTTTCATCATATGTTAGACAAATAAACAAACAATTAATTATAAAATTTCTTTGCAACATATGTAAAACAAATAAACAACAAGCCTATTAAAAAAACTCATTGAATCATACCTAAGAGAAATAAGTAACCAATCTATTATTAAAATTCGTGAGACAAATGAATAGCCTACCAATTATAATATTCCTTTGCAACATTTGTAAAACAAATAAAAAACTAATCTATAACAAAATTTCTTTGCAACATATGTAAAACAAAAAAACAACCAAACTATTATAAAAATACTTTGCAATATATAAAAGATAAATAAACAACCAATCTATTATAAAATTTCTTTGCAACATATGTAAGACAAATAAACAACTAATCAATTATAAAAATTCATTGCAACATATGTAAGGTAAATAAACATCCTATCTATTCATCCAATCAATTCTTTGCAACATATGTAAGGCAAAAAACCACCAATCTATTATAAACCTTTTTTGCAACAAATGTAAGACTAATGAACACACAATCTAATGTAAAATTTCTTTACAACATATGTAGATAAATAAACAAACAATGAATTATAAAAATTTTTTGCAACATTTATAAGACATATATAAAACTAATCTATTAAAAAAAGTTCTTCGCAAAAAAAATTGTCAAACATGTAAGAAATAAAACTTTTTACATATATAGACAAATAAACAAAAAATCTTTTATAAAACTTCTTTGCAAAATATGTAAAACAAAAAAACAACTAACCTATTATATAATTTTTTTGCATCATACCTAAGACAATTAAACAACGAATCGATTATAAAGTTTCATAACAACATATGTAAGACAAATACACAACCAATCTATTATGAAATTTCTTTGCAACTTATGTAAGATAAATAATAACTAATCTATTATCAAAACTCTTTGCAATATATGTTAGACAAATAAATAACCAATCTATTATAAAAATGCTTTACATAATATGAAAGACAAATGAATAACCAATCAATTATAAAATTTCTTTGCAACAAAAGTAAGACAAATAAACAACCATTCTTTTATAAATTTTTTTTGCAACATATGTGAGATAAACAAATGTCTAATCTATTATAAAATTTCTTTGCAACATATGTAAGAAAAATAAACAAATAGCATATTATAAAACTTCATTGCAACATATGTAAGACAGTAAACGAACAACCTATTTTAAATTTTCTGAAATGTAAGACAAATTAACAACCAACCTATTATAAAAAGTATTTGCATCATACCTAAGACAAATTAACAACCAATCTATTATCAAAATTCATTGCAACATATATATGACAAATAAACAAACAATCTATTATACAAAATCTCTGCAACATATGTAAGGCAAATAAACAACCAAATTTTTTACAACATTTGTAAGACATATAAACAAACAATCTATTAAAAAAAATCTTCGCAATGTATATAAGTCAAATAAACAACTAATCTATTAAAGAAATATTTTTGGAAAAAACTTTGTCTTATATATGTAAAAAATATTACTTCTTACAAATGTAAGACAAAAAAACAAACAGTCAATTATAATATTTCTTTGCCACAAATGTAAGACAAATAAACAACCAATCTATTATAAAATTTCTTGGCAACATATGTAAGACAAATTAACAACCAATCAATTATAAAAATTATATATTTAATATGAAAGACAAATGAATAACAAATCAATTATAAAATTTCTTTGCAACATATGTAAGACAACTAAACAACCAAAATGTTTTGAAAACTTTTCGCAACATATGTAAGACAATAAACAACCAACCTATTACAAAATTTCTTAGCAACATATGTAAGATAAAGAAACAACCAATCTATTACAAAGTTTCAATGCAACATATGTAAGGCAAATAAACAACTAACCGATTATAGATTTCTTTGCAAAAATTTTTGTCTTACATATGTATGAAGCAAAATTTCAAAAATATGTAAGACAAATAAGCAACCAATTAATTTACATTATTTACATTAATGTTAAAATTTCTTTGCAATATATGTAAGACAACAATACAACCAATCTATTTGAAATTTCTTTGCAACATATGTAAGACAAATAATAAACCAATCCAATTTAAAATTTTATTGCAACATATGTAAGACAAAAAAACAACCAGCGCATTATAAAATCTTTGCATCATACCTTAGACAAATAAAGAACCAAATAATTATAAAGTTTCATTGCAACAAATGTAAGACAAATAAACAACCAATCTATTATAAAATATCGTTGCAACATAGGTAAGGTAAATAAACAAACAATCTATTATCAAAACTCTTTGCAACATATGTAAGACAAATAAACAACCAATTTATTATAAAATTTTTCTGCAACATATGTAAAATAAATAAATCAATCTATTATAATATTTCTATGCTACATAAGTAAGACAATAAACAACCAACCTATTGTAGAATTTCTTTGCAACATACCTAAGAAAAATGAAAAAACCAATCTATTTTAAAATTTCTTTGCAACGTATATAAAACAAACAAACAACTACTCTATTAAAAAAATTTCTTTGCAAAAACTTTTGTCCTACATATGTAAAAAATAAAATTTCTTATACATGTATGACAAAAAAACAATCAATCGCTTAGAAATATTATTTGCGACAATAGTAAGACAGATAAACAATCAATCTCTTCTAAATTCTCTTTGCAACATATGTAAGACAAACAAACAACTAATCTATTATAAAATTTCTTTAGCTGCATATATCAGACAAAAAAAGAACCAACCTATTATACAATTTCTTTGTATTATACCTGAGACAAACAAACAACTTGTTGTTTATAGAGTTTTATTGCAACATATAAAAGACAAATAAACAACTAATATATTATAAATTAACTTCGCAACATATGTAAGACAAATAAATAACTAATATCTTATAAAATATTTTTCCATAATCTGAAAGACAAATAAACAACGAATCAATTATAAATCTTCATTGTAACATATGTAAGACAAACGGACAACCGATCTATTACAAAGTTTCTTTGCAACATATGTAAGGCAAAAAAACAACTACTCAATTAAAAAAATTTAATTACAAATATTTTGTCTGATATATGTAAGAAATAAAATTTCTTACATATGTAAGGCAATTAAACAACTAATCAACTATGAAATTTCTTTGCAACATATGTTAGACAGATAAACAAGCAATCAATTATAAAATTTCTTTGCAACATATGTAAGACAAAAAAACAACTATTTTATTATAACTTTTTTTGCAACATACGTAAAGTATATAAACAACCAATCAATTTTAAACTTTCGTTGCAACATATGTAAGACAAAAAAAACAACCAACCTATTATAAAATTTCTTTGCATCATGCCTGAGACAAATAAACAATCAATCAATTATAAAATTACATTGCATTATATGTAAGACAAATAAACAACCAATCTAATATAAATATTCCATGCAACATAAGTAAGACAAATAAATAACCAATCTATTATAAAATTTCTTTGCAACAAATGTAAGACAAATAAACAACCAATCTATTATAAAACTTCTTTGCAACATTTGTAAGACAAAAAAACAACTAACCCAATATAAAACTTCTAAGCATCATTCCTAAAACTAAAAAAACAACAAATTGATTATAAAATTTTATTGAAACTTATGTACAATCTATTATAAAATTCCTTTGCAACATAGGTAAGGTAAATGAACAACAAATTTATTATAAATTTTTATTTGCAACATATGTAAAATAATTAAACAACTAATCTATCCTAAAATTTCTTTTTCACATAAGAAAGACAGATAAAAAACCAATCTATTATTAAACTTCATTGCAACAAAAGTAAGACACAAATATAACCAATTTATTATGAAAATTTTTTGCATCATACCTAACACAAGTAAACAACCAATTGATTATGAAGTTTTATTGCAACATATGTAAGGCAAATAAGCGACCTATCTATTATAAAATTTCTTTCTAAAAAATGAAACACAAATGAATAACCAATCAATTATAAAAATTCTTTGCAACATATGTAAGACAATAAACAACCAACCTATTAAATATTTTCTTTGCATCATACCTAAGACAAATAAACAGCCATTCTTTTATAAAAACTTTTTGCAACAAACGTAAGACAAATATACAACCAATTTATTATGAAACTTCTTTGCAACATATGTAAGACAAATAAACAACCAACCTATTAGAAAAAATCATTGCAACATACTTAAGACAAATAAACAACCAATCTATTATAAAATTTCATTGCAACATATGTAAGACAAATTAACAACTACTCTATTAAAAATATTTTTTTGCAAAAGATTTTGTCTTATATATGTAAGAAATAATACTTCCTACACATGTAAGACAAATAAACAACCAATCAATTTTAAAATTTCTTTGCAACAAATGTAAGACAGATAAACATTTAATCTATTATATAATTTCTTAGCAAAATATGTAAGATAAATAAACAACCATTCTATTATAAAATTTCATTGCATCATACATAAGACAATTAAAAAACTAATTGATTGTAAAGTTCTATTGCAACATAAAAAAGACAAATAAACAACTAATCTATTATAAAATTTCTTTGCAACATATGTAAAATAAATAAAAAACTAATCTTTTATCAAAATTTGTTGCAACATATGTAGGATAAATAAACAATCAATCTATTATAAGAATTCCTTTTATAATATGAAAGACAAAAGAATAACCAAGAAAATATAAAGTTTCTTTGCAATATATGTAAGACAAACAAAAAACGAATCTATTATAGAAATTATATAACATATTGGTTGTTTATGTGTTTAACATTAGTTGCAAAAAAATTTTATAATTGATTGGTTGTTTATTTGTCTTAAATGTGTAAGAAGTATTATTTCTAACATATATATATGAGAAATTCTTTTGCAAAGAAGTTTTTTTAATAGATTTTTTGTTAATTTGCCTTACATGTGTTGCAATAAAAGTTTGTAATAGACTGGTTGTTTTATTTACCTTACTTATGTTGCAATTCAAGTTGATAATTGATTAGTTGTTTGTTTGTCTTACATATTTTGCAAAGAACCTTTATAAAAGATTGGTTGTTTTTTTATCTTACATATGTTGCAAAGAAATTTTATAATTGATTGATTCTTTATTTGTCCTTCTTTAAAATCATTGCAACATGTATAAGACAAATAAACAATTATTCTATTATTAAATTTTATTGCAACATATGTAAGACAAATAAACAACCAATTCATTGTAAAATTTCTTTACAACATTTGTAAGACAGATAAACAACCAATCTATTATAAAATTTCTCTGCAACATATGTAAGACAAAAAAACAACCAACCTATTATAAAGTTTCTTTGCATCATACCTAAGACAAATAAACAAATAATCGAATATAAAGTTTCATTGCAACATATATTAGAAAAATAAACAACCAATCTATAATAAAATTTCTTTGCAACATATGTAAATTAAATAAAAAACCAATCTATTATCAAAATTCTCTGCAAAATATGTTAAATAAAAAAACAAGCATTCTATTATAAGAATTCTTTTTGTAATATAAAAGACAAATAAATAACCAATAAATCATAAATTTTCTTTGCAATAAATGTAAGACAAATAAACAACCAATCGATTATATAAATTTTATAATAGAATAGTTGTTTATCTGTTTTACATTTGTTGCAAAAAAAATTTTAATTGATTGGTTGTTTATTTGTTTTACATGTGTAAGAAGTATTTTTTCTTACATATATAAGACAAATTCTATTGCAAAGAAATTTTTTTTAATAGATTATTTGTTTATTTGCCTTATATATGTTGCAATAAAAGTTTCAAATAGACTAGTTGTTTTAATTGTCTTACAAATATTGCCAAAAACAATTTATATTAAGTTGGTTGCATATTGTCTTAAATATGTTGCAAAAAAAATTCATAATAGATTGGTCATTTATATGATTTATATATGTTGCAAAAAGTTATAATAGATTGGTTGTTTATTAATCTTACATATGTTGCAAAGAAAATTTATAATAGACTGAATGTTTATTTGTCTTATATATATTGCAAAGAAACTACATATATTATTGCTTATTTATTTGACTTTCTTATTATTTATTTTGCAAAGAGATATTATAAAAGATTGGTTGTTTGACAATTATGTATGACAAATAAACATATAATCAGTTATAAAAATTCTTTGCACAATAGTAAGACAAATAAACAATCAATTTATTATAAAGTCTCTTTGCAACATATTTAAGACAAAAAAATAACCAACCCATTATAAAAACTCTTTTTATCATACCTAAGACAAACAATTAATCGATTATAAAGACTTATTGCAACATATGTAAGACAATTAAAGAACCAATCCATTATAAAATATATTTCCAACATATGTGAGATAAATAAAAAATCAATCTATTATAAAGCTTGTTCACAATATATGTAAGACAAATAAACAATCAATCTATTACAAAACTTCTTTGTAATATATGTAAGGCAAATAAATAACCAATTTATCATAAAAAATCCCTGCAACATAGGTAAGGCAAATAAACAACCAATCGATTATAAAGTTTCTTTGCAATATATGAAAGACAAATGAGCAACCAATCCAATGTAACTATTCTTGACAACATTTGTAGAACAAATAAACAAATAAGCTATTATAAAATATCTTTGCAACTTATATAAGATAATAAACAACAAATCTATAAAAAAAAAATTGTTTGCAAAAAATTATGTATTATATATAATAAAAAATAAAACTTCTTACATTTATAAGACAAATAAACCAATCAATTATAAAGTTTTTGGAACTTTATAATTGATTGGTTGTTTATTTGTCTTATAAATGTAAGAAGTTTTATTTTTTATTATATATAATACATAATTTTTTGCAAACAATTTTTTTTTATAGATTTGTTGTTTATTATCTTATATAAGTTGCAAAGATATTTTATAATAGCTTATTTGTTTATTTGTTCTACAAATGTTGTCAAGAATAGTTACATTTTTTTGGATTACAACAGATAAAAAACCAATCTATTATAAAAAATTTCTTTGCAATATTTAAATAAACAAAAAAACAACCAACCTTTTACAAAATATCTTTGCATCATACCTAAGACTATTAAACAATTAATCGATTATAAAGCTTCATTGCAACATATGGAAGGCATATAAAGAACCAGTCTATTACAAAATTTCTTTATATTATATATTAGGAAAATAAAAAACCAATAAATTATTAAAATTCTTTGCAACATATAAAAAAGAAATAAACAACCTATTCATTTCAAAAACTCTTTCCATAATATGAAAGACAAATAAATAACAAATCAATTATAAAACTTCTTAGCAACATATGTAAGACAAATAAACAACCAATCTATTATAAAATTTATTTGCAACATAGGTAATATAAATAAAAACCTAATCTATTATAAATTTTCTTTGCAACATTTAAACAACAAATAAACAACCAATCTATTATAAAATTTTATTGTAACATTTGTAAGACAAAAAAACAACTAATCAATTACAATATTTCATTGCAACATATGTAAGGAAAATAAATAACTAATCTAATATAAAATTTTCTTTACAAAAAGTTATGTCTTACATATGTATGAAATAAAACTTTTTACATATAATACAAATAAGCAACCAATAAATTCTAAAACTTCTTTGCAAAAAATGTAAGACAGATAAACAACCAATCTATTATAAAATTTCTTTGCAACATATTTATAACAAAAAAACAACCAACCTATTAAAAAAAATTTTTGCATTATACCAATGACAAATCATCAACAAATTGATTATAAAGTTTTATTGCAAAATATATAAGAAAAATAAAAAACTTATCTATTATAATTTTTTTTTTTTGCAACATATGAAAGAGAAACAAACAACTAATCTAATATCAAAATTCTTTGCAATATAGGGCAGACAAATAAACAATCAATCTATTATAAAAATAATTTCCATAAAATGAAATACAAATAAATAACTAATTAATTATAAAATATCTTTGGAACATATGTAAGACAAAGAAACAACCAATCTATTATAAAACTTCTTTGCAATATATGTAAAATAAATAAACAACCAATCTATTACAAAATTTCTTTGCAATATATAAAAGACAAATAAACAACCAATCTCTTATAAAATTACTTCGCAATATATGTAAGACAAATAAACAACCAATCTATTTTAAATTTCTTTGCAACATATGTAAGACAAATAAACAACTAATGTATTAGAATAAATCATTGCAACATATATAAGGCAAATAAACAACCAATCAATTGTAAAACTTTTTTGCATTATATGTAAGACAAATAAACAACCAATGTATTAGAATAAATCATTGCAACATATATAAGGCAAATAAACAACCAATCAATTGTAAAACTTTTTTGCATTATATGTAAGACAAATAAACAACCAATCAATTGTCAAACATCTTTACAACAGTTGTAAGACAAATAAATAAACAATCTATTATAAAATTTTGTTGAAACGTATTTAAGAGAAGTAAACAAGTAATCTATTAAAAAAAAAATACTTTGAAAAAAATTTTGTCTTATATATGTAAGAATTTGAACTTTTTACATATGTAAGTCAATTAAACAACCAATCAATTATAAAATATCTTTGAAACATATGTAAGACAAAAAAACAATAAATCTATTATAAAAGAGCATTGCATCATATGTGAGACAATAAAACAATCAACCAATAATAAATTTTATATACACCTATAATATATCTTTGCATTAAACCATATAAATTGACACAAATAAACAACCAATCGATTATAAAATTTCATTGCAACATATGAAAGACATTTAAACAACCAATCTAATATAAAAGTTCCTAGCAACATATGTAAGATAAATAAACTACCTATCTATTATAAAATTTATTTGCATCATATGTAAGACAAAAAAACAACTAATCAATTAGAAAATTTAATTGCAACATATGTAAGACAAACAAAACAACTAGTAAATTAAAAATTTTATTACAACATATGTAATATAAATAAACAACTAATCTATCAAAAATATTTCTTTGCAAAAACATTTGTGTTACATATGTAAGAAATATAATTTTTTACATATGTATGACAAAAAAACATTCAATCAATTAAAAAAATTCTTTGCAACAATAGTAAGACAGATAAACAATCAACCTCTTATAAAATCTCTTTGCAACATGTAAGACAAA